AATACATTTTTTTAATTTTAATAAATAGGTAGAGGAACCCACTCATAATCAGATAGTGCTGCTCCTAACGCCCGACGGCGCTGGCTCTAGCGGCTGCGGCGCGCGCGGTAAGAAGAGGAAAGGAGGCGTATACCGCGGAAATCGGCTGAAATGTTCAACTAATTCCGAGCACTGGTCTAATGCATAATATATTACATAGTAACGTAAGCGCGAGAAAATCATATCTACTCAATAAATATCTGTGATAGCTAAGAAAGCATATGTATACAATAATTATACAAGATAATACATAAATAGAATAAATAGAAATGTTAATAATAGTAATTATTTCTTACCTGATTTTAAACTCCAGAAAGTATAGATAATATATAAGTAAGCTTCAGAAAGTCTGTACTATTACAGTATTTGCGTAAAAATCTTCAAAGTAAAATAAAGCCGCAGATTAATTTTATTTTATAGCTCAGGCTTCTATGTAACTCCCACAGAACAAATTCTAATGGATAGAAAAACAGAATATCAAAAATTGTTGCACATGTGTCTGTATATCTATAAGTAAATCTAACTTTATTTATTAGTCAAGCAACGGTTTGCTGAATTTTTAAAGAAATATGTTTTCATCAATGATAAATAAATCGCAGAACTAATTTATTTCCTAAGACAATTGAATTGACTCGACGAACTGTATTTATGTAAGAAGGCAATAGACCATTATATTAGAACGATTTAGTTTGTCTAATGTATAATATTAAATGGAAACGTAAGCGCAAAAAAATCATATCGACAAACATCTGTGAAAGTTAGGAAAGCATATACAATAATTACAAGATAATACATAAAATAAATGGAAATGTAATGTAACAATAATAACTATGCATTACTTACTTATGTAACCACTTCTGTATACCAAACACTACTTAAGCAGTTAACCTGGTACATTCTGTCGTCAATATTTACACTCACTGATCAATGAAGTACTGAACGTTGACATCCCGAATTCATAGTCGCGACATATAGATCTACTTATATCGATAATCTCGATGATAACTAAATCCATAATGTACATTTACACGAACTTACTGCAAACTACATTACCGGCTGTCGAAGTGACGACAATATTATTGTGAAAGTTTCAAATCTGTACTAATTATCGATTCAATGATCTTCAATGATCTCTGCCCTGTGGGGACCTATGGCGGACCGCTCCGACATTTGTGAACGCATGAGGATGGAGGACAATGTAAGTAACTCCTTTAATAGATTTATAAAGTCATCGCTTACGAAACTGATTAACTCACCGGATGAGTGGAAAAATAATTTAAGCACGTTACAATACGTGATTAATAATACGTACCACGCAGTCACGAAGTCGAGTCCATCGAAGCTGCTATTTGGCTACGAGCAGCGCAGCCACGCCGATCATGAGTTTGCACGTTTCACCAAGGCCCTGGTGGGACAGGATAAGACCTGGAGAAGGACAGAGACGCGTCACGACAGG